CAGGAACTCACAGAGATTTTATTTTTGATTTCACCTCTTACCTCACTGAAAACAGCCGTTATAATTAAAACAAATTTTAATGGTGTATGTATAAATACTCTACTTCCTTATCCAGCATAACAGAGAGCATCCTACAAACGAAGAGCATGGGACATGTAAATTCTTTATCACCGATCGATTCGATCTATTTTTCATCCCCTGAATCTCATAAATCAAGGTTCGCACCCCTCGGAACGGTATCCGTCGTTCCTAATCGCAATTACGCCAGGTTTATGTATAAGAAAAAAGAGAAAGAAGAAGGAAGTCGAAAAAGAAAAGGAGACCAGTGGAAGACGCGGCAGCGACTACCACGGAGATCTCGAACTCCGGATAAGTAACGAAAATGTAAGCCCGGATCAACCGCGCTCATCCCCTTTGGCGTTGGCGTTTGACGCGACCGCTGAAATTTTTACTTCGTTCGATTTGGTCTTTCGGGGATTCCCCGCCCTCTGATTGGTGGACTCTGGCCACGCCCTGCATATAAGGGTGGCTTGCTCGCCCGAGCACTATCAACCCTTATGTATGCCCGATGTGAGTACACTTATGTGCCCGTACATATGTAAGGGTGCAGATTTCGCGCGTGCATATATGTACCGGTGAACGGAATATACATAGGCGTAGGAACGTGTGTACCGGGTGGGGCTCGCAGGACTGCGGATGCCAAGCCAGCCCTGAACTTTCGATACGACACGGTCGATCGAACCACTCGTAATTTCCCTATCGGACTGTTATCTAAAAAGAAACGACTATCGGCCGCTATTCATTGTGCCCGGCGTTCATTCTTCTCGCGAAGTCGGGGGTTGGCTAAGGGCTGGTAAATCCTTGGGATTCTGTTCCATTCGTATTGCGCGTTAAGCTTCATCGTCAACGCGTTTTGTTGGTGTATTTTAGTTTGATCGAGTTCTGTCGTGGCAAAATGTCTTTTAAGTTGTTTTATTGAGTTTCATTGTTGAGGGTTAGAGTGGTTTTTTTTTGTCAGCGTGTATGCTATACTGTTGCACTACTAGATAATTTAATATTGGAACATTCAAGATTGATTTTTATTTATGTTCAGTTTTGAACTAATTTATAATATTGTGATTCGTGAACTTTGTTATTGATCGTGAATATTATTCAGATTGGAGAACATAGTAATTCAAAATTAAATATTTCTGAATTATTGATTTAGCATTAGTAATTTTCCACTATAATGTTGAATTGTATGTTTGTTATACGTGTCTATTTACTATACGAGGATTAGTATTGATATTTATTGTAGCATTTTGTTCAATAATAACTCTTCATTATAAGGTAACTGGCTAAACGAGTTTATAATAGATGCTGGACATTGATCACACTACGTCGGAGAAAACGTTTGGTAGTGAGGCCCGATTACAAGCTCCAGGAAGTTTATATCAGTAAATAATATTACCCATTGGATTGTTGGGAATTTAATTTTCGTGGATGAAGAATGAATTGATCGCCGGCAATATTGGAAAAGAATTACTACGGTAGCCGTAAAATCGCGTTTATAAGTCTTTTATCCTTGAGTGGACTTCAGACGTACAGTTTCATTCCTAATTCTATTTATTGTTATCAATGTCCAGATTGCAAACGTAAAAAATGTTAGAAATGTACTATTCGTTTTCGAGACGACTGTTTTGAATACTTATTTCATGCAAAGTAGAAATGATATGCCATGAACAGATACCTTAAGATATTCTCATTCAATAATACATGTATCTGATATATTACAAATTCAATTATTTTAAAGCATCACACGACAAAATATTTTTCTGTATAATATTCCATTATAAACCACACGAAACTAATCCATTTTAATCACTAATAAATAACTAATATTAAATATATTTCTCTAAATACTTTGTTACGTTAAGAATAAGTTCAAACGTTTACGTAAACCGTCGACTATCATATCCTCTACGGAATTGAATGCAATAATCTGTCACTTACCAGGAAGCGGATAGTTTTATTCAGCATATAGTTTATATAAAATGTACGTTTCGTACGGAGACGCGGAAAGAAACTTACCGACTACGTACAGATATTACTATTTTACCCTAGACGGAGTAGAATAAGATGTCAGCCGGAATTGTCTCGGAGACAGCTGAAATAGCTTTACGTTACAAACCTTAAAAGCATGACAACGAAGACAGTCCCCGTGAATTACGCGAAATACACACGGAGCCCCGGCATTACGCTAAATCCACCTCTTTCGGAATGATACGCGTTTCAGAATTAATTGCGTGCAAGTGCGAGCGCCTTTCACGACACATCGTGTAACCCCGCGGGTCCCCTATCCGCCCTTTGAATTATTCTTACTTAATTATATCGTTCACGGTACTCGTCCCATCGTGTTGCCTAAAGAGGAATTTTATTTGACGCTGTGTAAGCGGCCGCATCTCGTTTCCAGCGGTTTCACTATATTCGTCCATTAACATTCAAAAAGTAGTTCGTTTTGGGGAAGGCGATATTTACTGAGAACAGTGTTCGTTTAGAACGGTATACGTGTGTTTTTTTTCGAGAATTATTAAAATTATATTTATTCGGCTATTTTTATTCTAACTGTGCATCAGTGTTGTGTATGGTATAGTTTAGCTGGCAGTTCATTTTATTCTGTCCGCTACCAGGCTGCAACTATACCCTCCACCATTTTCCGTCTCTTTTGTCTTGGCAAAGCTGTCTGCACTTGCGCGCCGCCACTCGACCTATGTATGAAACTGAATCTACCGGATTACTTCGAGCCCGGTGACCTGCCACTTTGCAACGGTGCAAGGCTAGAATACGTCGAGTAACTTTTTAATTATTTAATTAGTTATGTGTTGTTCACTAAGAATTTCGTGGAGGTAGTTTGCTACAGTAGTACATGAAAATGTAATGTTAGTCGGACTTATTGATATTTATAGATTAATGAGCATCTTTTTCGAAAATCAAACAATTGGAGGAACAATTTGCACATATTTTATAGGAATTTAATAATGCTGTAAATAATGAAATGGAATTGCTAAAAATTCTCTTAATTCGAATGCGAGTCATAGATAGAAAATTAAAATCTCGCGAAAGCGCTTCACTCATTATAGTCTTGTTATACCGCACTAAATAATATTGTGTAATAAAAAAGTTTAGCTGTAAAATAGTCTGTAAATAAAATATATTTTTATTTGTTTAAAATCCTCATCCCTTCATTTTCTAGTACTTCTTTAATTGAATGATTCTTCAGCTGATTGTAATCCACGAGACGAGGACATTACAATCTGTCTTGGATTTTTAGGTCGCTAACGCAACTGATTTGTGTCACTAAAAGCCAAAATACACCCGACGAGATATAAAAATAGATTTAACACCGAATGCATTTCAGTAGCCTGATTTTCTAGGGTGCTAACGTCATTATTATTATTCCGTTATTCTTTGTGCGTCGATGGCATAAAGTTGTTGTGTACCAAAAAAATGTTAGTAGAGATCACAGTTCGTATTACGAGGAGCAGTGAAACTTACGTACACTTAGCATTAATACAGTCTTCTAACAAAATGGAATATTTATATTTTGCCAAAGCCATTGTACTGCAGTGTCTTGGAAAGTAATTCATAGCTCATAAAAATGCTCATAAAACACTGTTTTCCCATTCCCAGTAGCACCCTATGTTCATGAAAAGAGCCCCTGGAGTCTTTTTGATTCACGGGGACTCTAGAGATTCTCCAACAACTCTTAGGGGCCCGTGAATGCTCTTCGAAGCTATCTTAGCGCTTCGTGAGTCACTGGATGTCCCTTAAGAGTTACCGGTAATTACCTCTTAGAGGTTTTATTGAAAATGCCTTAAGATCCCTAACAATTTCCCTTTCTCAAACATGTGTTATATAAATGTAATGTAATCATTGCTTTTTAGGTTAAGCACCTCGATGTGTGAACTTGCGAATTTTTAAACCGCAATTAAAAGTTTCTTAGTATTTTAAGTTTAGCATCTCGGTGAATAAGCTTGCAAGCTCATTTGAAAACAATGATAATTTATTATATTTGAATGTGCGGGTAAGGAAAGTATGTGTTTCAGAAATCAAAGCTAATAAGACGTAAGTAATGAAATACTGAACTGGGTCAACCGAATGAGTCGATGCCTTAAAGAACAAGCACCATAAAGAAAGAATCACGAGGATATGTGGCATAGGATTAAAAGGGAAAATCTGAAGCTTGCTTTAAAAGAAAAATGAAGGAAAATGTGATCAGAGGAACGTGAACTGCGTTTAAATTAATTAGTACTTACACAGAAAAGGATAGCATCTGTTCATATCTCAATACATCAGCGCATAACATAACTGTGTCACTGGAGCTTCTGGAGACCTCCTTCGAGCCTGCGGGCTCAAAGGAGTCTGAGAAAATTTCCCTGTACTACCTTCACTTATAGGTCCTACTTCTTTCCCCCACCTCTAGTATAAATTGTGCGCATGTCCATCGAATTCGATAATTTTCTTACGAATGCAACTATTGAGATGCAAAAATATTGTATTTTTTAATACCGATAACATTTTAAAAATTACCTTTCTAGCATGTTTTTATGTTGAAGTTCAGTGGCTGATTGTTCCATCCAGATAGAGTTCGCTAGTGCATTAGGGTGTTTTGGTAGAGGGAAATGTTTGAAGTGTAGACAGGAAGTTACACTGCATGGGATGTCTGTATTGAGTCTTAAGTCTATGACTTGAATTTCTAGGTCGGTAAAACAGTTTGGCATGTATCAGAAAACTCGATAGAGTGATGTTTGCTCTAATCTTGCATCTTATCAGTGACTTGAGCACAGAGTTGCTATTGATAGTGTATTATAAAAGAAATTAAATGATATCAGAATGGAGTTACTATTTTAATGAAGGCAAATATCCCGGGCAGCATTAATAGATCGATACTCGAAACTAACTTATCGATTAGCACGTTTCGATAGGCGGGAGGCTACTTGAACTTGGTTTCACATGCGAAATGTGAGGATAGTGGGGCGCTCGCGTCAGTGCCGTGAGAGCTTCAAAACAAGATCGTGTTTGGTGACGAGTTACTTGATTTGTGATTGATATGATCGAGGAACACGACGAACGTGAAACAATATGCGACTCAGTGGTAAGTGGTGCGATGCGTTAAACATGACAGCGCTAACACTTTCCAAGAAGAAGGGCTACGAGTGCAGCTATGCGGATATTATGAAATTCTAACCTCACTTTCAGAATTCATTGGTGGAAGGCTGTCGTTTGCCGGTCAGAATGCATAGCACAGATGATTGGCGTAAGTAAAACGTTTACTTTCCTATCCATTATATGCTCGGTTGTTAGTTCCATCCACAGAAGTCGTGATATCTGTCGAAATAGCGTATGACATTTTTTACTAGGAGAATCTCTAGATAAGTATGTCAATGAATCATATTAATGAATCGGTCTGTAGGTACACAGGCCTTTCGCTGACGTAGCATTAATTATAACTACATTATAAACCCAATAAGTGTCATTGTTTCAGTAATTTTTCTGCACATTGTATATGTAGAATGACAAGCTTAGTTTTAGGTTATGTTTAGGCACTTTGGACACCAATAGTATGTGTGTATACTGTCTGGTGTGTCTCAAGAGTCAATGAATGTTTATGTTGTACAGACGTAGATATAGCAATAAGGGTTTATCAAAAGTGTCCTTTTATCATCCACAGCCCTTGCTGAAATCATCAGTGTTAAAGAAGTACACGGTGTCAAGTGTTATTATGTTCACTATGTAGATTGTAAGTATATAGCGCCTTGATTAAGGAGGAAGGAATTACCAATTCGTACGTAAGCAATCATTTAATTCACTGTACAACATTTTAGTCAATAAACGATTAGATGAATGGGTTACGGAAGATTGTTTGGACACTAGGAAAGTCCAATATCCTAGACGAGATGGAACTACACCCGGCACAGGTGCGGCCACCCCTAAAAAACAGGCAGTTAGTAGGCCTCCTAGCCCTAGCAGTCTTAGTAATGAACCAGTTAATGGTCCAGCCGTATTGCAAGCGGCGTTGCAAAAGAAAATGTCTAGAAAAAGAAAATCAACGTTCATAGAGAACGAGGATTCTCAGGAAGCACCGCCACAAACACCTGGTCCTAGACCGACTGGGTCGCTTGTTGCGCATCATCATGATGACATTGTTACTAGAATGAAAAATGTTGAATTAATAGAGCTGGGTCGTCATAGAATAAGGCCATGGTATTTTAGTCCTTATCCGCAAGAAATGGTGAACCTGGCATGCATATATATTTGTGAATTCTGCCTAAAATATAGAAAAAGTCGAAAGTGTTTAGAGAGGCATCTTATCAAGTGCAATTTGCGACACCCTCCTGGCAACGAGATTTATAGAAAGGGATCGATATCGTTTTTCGAGATTGATGGCCGGAAGAACAAGAATTACGCACAAAATCTCTGCCTACTGGCAAAATTGTTCTTGGACCATAAAACGCTTTACTACGACACAGATCCGTTTTTATTCTATGTGATGACAGATTTTGACAGCAGAGGGTTCCACATAGTTGGTTACTTTTCGAAAGAAAAGGAATCAACGGAGGATCACAATGTAGCATGCATTCTTACACTGCCACCATACCAGAGGAGGGGTTATGGAAAATTGTTAATAGAATTCTCCTACGAACTGTCAAAGTTCGAAGGTAAAACGGGTTCCCCCGAGAAACCGTTGTCCGACTTAGGATTGTTGTCCTATCGAAGTTACTGGGCGCACACGATACTTGACATCCTTCTCAACATAAAGCCGCTATTGGAAAACGAAAAGCCTCAGATCACGATAAACGAAATCTGCGAGCTAACCTCCATTAAGAAAGAAGACGTGATATCGACGCTACAGAACTTGAATCTCATTAATTACTACAAAGGACAATATATTGTGACGTTGAATAGGTAATTGGCTACATAAGTCAATGCATCGTTAGGGAACCGGTCGGGCAGACTTTGTACAGACGGTTTTAGCTTCTTTCAGTAAACAACTGGATTTCCTTAGCTGAGTATCTCACTGACGAACTCGTATTTATTCGCAGGGATATTATCGAGCAACACGCGGCCGCAATGGAAAAGAGGCAGATCAGAATAGATCCTAAGTGTCTACATTGGACACCAAAAGACTGGAGTGTTAGGGCAAAATGGTGAAGTGACCGGTTAGAAATTGACAATAAGACGATGCTAATTTGTCTTGAAATTATTTTCAGGAACCCAGGAAGTGACTACGTATGATTTTGTAGCGAGTGTACAAAGAGCAAACTGTACATAATATTTTCGACCGGTTCACCGCCGGTCATGCGTTTTTAATAAGACTGCGGTCGGGCCTCGCACGCGATTGCGACGGTCCGAGTAACGAAACTAAACGAAAACAAGAAACACTAAACAGAACAAA